CAAAGAAACTCAATATCCACCAGAGAAAATACTCCACCATTGAGAAAGAATTATTGAGTTTGGTACTGGCCTTACAACATTCTAATGAATCATAGAATCCCCACAGTGTGGAAACAGGCCCTTCAGCCCAAAAAGTCCACACTGACCCTCAGAGCATCCCACCCAGACCCATCCCGCTATAACCCACCTAATCTACACATCCCATCCCCGAACACTACAGGCAATTTAGCATGGCCAATCCACCTAGCCCGCACATTTTTTTGGACTGTGGGAGGAAACCAGAGCACCCAGAAGAAAACCACGCAGACACGGGGAGAAAGTGTAAACTCTACACAGACAGTCACCCGAGGGTGGAATCGAACCCGGGTCCCTAGTGCTGTGCGGCCACAGTGCCACCCCTCAAATGTTTAAGTTACAAACAATGTTTTGCAGACAGTTGTGTATATAAGCCACAACACATTCACCTTTTTGGAAAGGCTTAAGGACAAGAATACAAGTCTATTTTGTTGGAGTCTTAGTTTACAGGCTTTTAATTCACAGATTGTACATGTTGCAGGTTGTAAAAAGTTATTGCAGAGGTGTTATCACGGGTTTAAAAGTTTAGGTTACTGACCCAAGTATCTCGTGATAATGGTGTTACGTTTTTAAAAAAAGCCATCTTTTCATAATGATGGTTCAACTTTTTTCCTCAAGGGGGAGGTGTTACGAAGTTATGTTGAATAATCATGAATTGGAAGGCAGGAAGCTAGAATTTGTTTGTTAAATAAAAGGGAGAAGAGGTGATGTGCTTTTCTAAGCTTTGAGACTTAAATGAAAATGTGTCTGTAAGCAACTGAAGGGCATACAGACAGTTCTGAAATTGAAACATGTATCAATTAACTGTGTGATCGGAAACCTTAGGCTTGTTTTGATGTTTTGGCAACGAGCTGGAATCAGCCAATTAATTTAAATCAATTACTTAGTAATCGAAAGCCAATTGAATTTAAATCTGATGGTTTTGACAACCTCAGACCAATGCTATTGTAAGAAAATTGATATGTCATTCAAGGTCTATAAGGAGAGAGTTTTTGAAAATTGGTGCAAGACCAAACTGCCATCTGAGAAATGAGCACTTAGCTGTCACAAGAAATCGCTAAGCTCTCAAAGAAAGCACCATAAAAGGTACCATGGCACTTCTAGGTAAGAGTCCTCACAGAAGATGTCACAGAGAAAACATCTGACAGCCGGATCAGCAGAAGAAAGTTGTTTGACTTGAGAACAGCAGAAGAAAGGCATGTAAATTTTGAGAGACTAAGTTTTAATTTATTTTCTTATTACTTAAGTTTATATAAGTAGGACTTATGTTTATCCGAACAGTATACGAATAGAATTTAGTTCAGTTAGGGACTAGTTAGTAGTTAAGGGGGAATTGTTCAGTTTGTTAGTAATTCTGTTAATTTGTTCACTGTTAGGGTTAAATCAATAAATTTTTACTTATAAAGTGAATATCAGCGATTTTCTTTCATTTAACCTCTGCTCCTCCATAACAGTTTAGCAGATTAGGTGAGGTGAAGCAAGCTTCTCTGGGTGTTTCAGGTTTAATTATTAGAAGGGGACCTCTACTCCTGCCGTAATAGATCAGGGGCTTATGTTTCAATATTAATTATCAGGGGGGTTCGACCTCCCCTTCCTAACACCAAGCATTCATGAATGGTCTCACAGGTAGTGCCCCTCTCACCATCAGCCAAGTGATGTCTTGGTGCTTGTTGGAAAGATCTGGCAATGAGGCATACTTTCATATGACTTTGACAGTCTACTTAGGGAACCACCCGACCAGGTCCACCCTCTCCTTTTCCTGCAGGGTCTAGAGGATGCTACATGCTGACCACTGCTTGATGGACTTGTGGTCAAAGATGATTTTCTTCGCATCTTTCTCCACGAGGGACGTGATATGGGAAGGTGCAACTACTTGGGGCGTTCTGCAGCAGTGAGGCCAGACTTATCCTTCATAACACCGGGGACAGGCAGAATATCAGTAAGTAGTGACACTGAGTGTTTATAGAGAGTGTCTACGCATAGCTTGATGCAGCGACACACAAAGGTGGCCATCAGGTTGAGGATGGCATTGGGTATATTCTTCCCCCCTTTGCTGTCCAGCACTTTATACATGGTGTCCCTTTTAGCCCGAACCATCTTTAACCTCCAAATGAAATAAAGGATGGCTCGGTGACATTGGCAGCACAAGTTCAGAGAATAGGCCAAACCTGCACCACATACAACAACACCGAGAGTACCTCACACCTGATGACCAGGTTTTTAGCTGCAACGGAGAGGGAGCAGTGCTCCCATTTGCCCAGTTTTTGCCTCACTTTGGTGAGTCGCTCCTCCCAAGTTTTGGCATTGCCCTCAGTCCCTCCAAACCATATTTCTATATGTCCTGATGGTGAAGGGGATTAAGGATCGGTCAGCCTACTTCCCAAAGAACGTGGCCTCGCTCTTGCCTTGATTTATCTTGGTACCCAAGGCCAGTTCAAACTGGTCGCAGATGCTCATGAGTCTGTGTACTGACAATGGATCTGAGCAGAAAACCGCGATGCAATCCATGTACAGGGAGGCTTTGACCTGCATGTCTCTGCTACCTGGAAAAGTCACTCTTCTCAAACTCGCAATGTTTCTGATGGACATGGCAAAAAGCTCTATACAACACACAAACAAGGCAGGAGAGAGTGGGCAGCCCTGCCTGACTCCCGAGCTAATTGGGAAGCTTTCTGATTCCCACTCATTTTTCAATATAGTCTGCATTTGACATGTAGAATTTTGCTTAATCTTAGCATAGGTCCTGGAGACTGTCCATAGTGGGTGCTGGTGAGTTGGCATGGAGGGTGCAAGGAAAATGGGTGGTGGTTAGGGCTGCTTGGGGAGATATAAGTTGGTATCAGAGCCATAATGGGCAGTGAGGTGAGTGGGTAGAGGGGCATGGGGCACTATGGGTTACTTGGATGGGGTATGGGGAGTGTGTGTGTGGATGTGAGAAGGGGTGAGGGCTGGTAATTTGTTTCTTGTTTTATTAACAGTCACAACAGTGTGCTGGACCACCAAACTGTGCCTTTCCCACAGCCTGCCTCCCCATTCTGTGGCTGCCTTCAAACTTATACCAGGATGGCAGCCACAACCTTTGTTGATCCCCGCCCCTATCCTGAATGAAAATCATACCATTGGAGTCAGGTTTGCAGAGCTGGGATTTTTACTCACTACTCAACTTAGCAATAAAAATTGAGGCCTTGGCCTTATATCTAGCTACAATTTCTCCCATTCTGTAAAGTTCAGAATTCTTCTTTTCTTTCACTTTTAAATGGTTGATTTTGATAAAGATAGAAATGATGTCAAAACTTTACAAGATCTACTTTGTTTCACCATGAGGGTGTGAACACTTTTTAATTGCTGTGCACATTCACTAGAATCAGCTTAGACTAATTAAAATAATCCCTTTACAGAGAAGGAGTAAACCGAGTTGGTGGGACTCCAGCTTCACAGGCGAAAATATAAATTCTATTGGAATAGGGGAAAAAACAAAATTCTGAAGCATATTGTTAAACATCTTGCGCTCGTGAATTTTAAATGCCAGTAAATTCCTGTGCACCCCACATGAAACAGCATGACACAAATATCATTTTTCCAAGATGCAGTGCTACAATCTGGGCTCATTATTTAGATCTGCATATGCTATTAATACTCTTATCTCTGATGATTTTCATGATGATCTTCATGGTTAAATTTTTAGTACAAACTCACAGAGCTACTAAGCATGCCAAAAACTGACTTCATTTGTTAGACCCAGTGCGTCCATATGTGCAGGTATTTCAAAAGTAGTCAGAACAAGTTGTTTGAGAGAATGGGATGGTCTATAAGTCAGCCTCTAGTTAATACTGCCATACATTTGAATTAGCATCAACATAAACCAACCTCAAGGTAGTTCAAATTAAAATCATCAGATGGGTAATGTAGTTAATTTATAAAACAGTGACAACTTTTGGCCAGTATAAGTAGGACTAAAATCTTATCAATTTACATGGAAAATTCTGCTCTTGCAGATATAACATTTAAAAGCCTAAATCAATAAAACACTGCAATCAGAAAGTTGGGTCATTGAGTGGTGGTTGAAAGTATTGAGATGGCCTTATACCAAGTCATTGGCAGATGGTATTGCAGTTTACCCTAGGAAATGTACTCAAATGCTTGTGGCCTGGTCCCACGATGTATTTTAGACTCTCCACTCTCTTTCACCACTCAGTCTCCCATTATTATCTCTGTGCAGAGTCAGTAGCAAGCAAAACGGGCAGAGCACATTAAAATATAATGTCTTGCTCTCCGAAAGCTGCAGTGACTGACCTCCTACAGGTCATAGCTTCTTAGTTTCAAATTTGCAGGATATTGTTTGGAATAAGGAATGTACAGGTTAGGTCAATATATACCACCTGCAAATGGTAATACTATTATTTGCTGGCAAAAGTGGAGATGATTGGATAATTCACTTAAACAATCCATATCTGGACACAGTACTGCTCTAAGTGACTAGGATTAATTTTGTGGACATATATGCCTGTAACCATTCTTCACCTACTGAGGAATTATCCTGCTTTCACTGGGACAGTTGCTGCAGTCATGGTCATGAGCTCTGTTTGCCGTAGTTTGTGCAGTTTCTTTTTCAATACACTTTTCGATTGTCGTAATGCATTGTTTAAACAGACTGCTCACCGTGTAAATAGATCTTTCTGTAATAATGCACTATTTGTTACGAGTCCCATTTAAGACCATCTTTGCTTCCTACATATTTTGGCTGACAATGATGTTGAATAGAATTTTAATTTATAATGAATGCACAAATTAATTTTAAAAATTAAACATGTTATCTGCATCATTTATGTTTGTATTTTGACTGCAAAATTTTGAGTTGCAAATCTCACAAAAATGTAATTTATGAAAGGGAACATTTAATTTATTGAACAGTCAAAAATACTCACTGCTTCTTTTTCTCAAACTCTTGTAGGTGCTTTCTGTAAAGCATATGTTGTAGGAAATTTTCACTTTCTGAGACCATTGATGCTTCTTTTCCCTTCTTTTGTTCTTCTGCTGCAGACTTAGCAGCTTTCCTTGCCTGAATTGCCCGGAGGTTTTCCTATTAGCAAGTGTACAAGAAACTTAATTTTATGCAATAACTTTTTAATTGTAAGAGCTAATGAATATACAACATACAACACCTACTGTCCTGCAGCATGACTTAACACTAAATACGCTAAATTGAACTCCCTCACTATTCTGTATTTGCATTTTCTTTGCAACTAAGTCATACGAACCTGGATTTGAATTAGCTTATCTCAGTGAAGCTGACAGTAGAAATTCTGTACTCACTCAATCTCAGTGATTTGGGTTTACAGTGGGTGAATTAGGAGAATTAGCCAAGGTTCCTATTTTAATCTCTATATCCAGAGATCCTTGCTTGGAATTATGCATCAATGGAAATTGAAATAGTCTCAAATGTGATATCTTCTCCCTGCAAGTAATTGACCAGATCCTACTGTTAAAATTTTGGACAATAGATGTGAAGTATGGTGCAATTCCAATGAACAAACCTGGGTATTTTTCAGACAGTCTGTACTATTATCTCAGGTGAGCAACAACTTCACTTTGGGGAGATATTTAAAATATAATTTGCTGAAGACTGCCAGGAAAAGTAATTTCTTAAATGTGCGCCTTATGTCTGTAATTTTGACTCTATTCCGGGCAGCATTGCATTTTAGTTGGTGCACTTATTTACTCTTTTATATTTATTACAGTTTTATATGAGTTTGTTTTTGCTGAGTGACTTAACGAACCCCTGTGAAGTATGGGAATGAGTGATTCTCCGAGTTTGTAAATATGAAACGTAAATGAATCTCTGTAGATGGTATACTAGGTACTTGATGCTTACTGCATTACATAGGCCGCAGGGCAAGCACACAGTGATAGCATCGTTGCAGATACCATTAGTCTAATATGTGTATGTCTGTGAATTGAGTAAGTAAATGAACAGTTGCCAGATTACTATATATTTCTAGCTCTGTGTTGCAGACCATGTTTACAGTAAAGTTATATAAACTATGAAAACATTTGCTCACAAGCATTTAGAAATTGATGGAGTGTGAGTAAGACTAATATAATATTTACCTTGTTATAATTTAATCAAAAAATGAATTAAATTGTATTTTCTTTTACTATATTCGGTCATTATTATTTCTCATTTTCTCTAAATTCTTCTGATCAATCTGAGATGATCCAGAACTTTACTAATATTTTGTAATCTATTACTAAAAAGGCCGTGTGCAATCTGTCACAAAATCAGGAATTGCTGGAAAAACCCAGTAGGTCTGGCAGCAGCTGGGAAGGGCAGGCAGGGCCAATGATTCGTTTACGGTGCCATCTCCCCAGTTCTGAGTGCTGGGTTTTTCCAGTAATTTCTGAGTTTGTTTCTGATTTCTAGCAACCCCAGTTCTTTGGTTTTTAATGTTCAATGTGCATACTGTCCTTCCTCCAGCTGGGAATTTGTTTTCACTCTAATTGCTTAGCAGAGGTTGTATCTAATTGCTTGTGGAACTGAGTAAAAGCCCACACCTAGTTCTGAAAATTGTTACTACACTAGAACCAGACCTCCTCATCTTGCTTTTTTTTTCAATGGATGAACAATTTAACTTCTGTCAATAAGTTTTGATTTGTCTATCCAGTTAGTTATCAAAGCAATATTTACTCGGCTCATTGCAATGTTTTTCTTCAATGACAATATGATTTGCATCCTCTTCTCCAGGTCATCTCTTATCTTTAGTTCTTTATCAGCTTGTTCTTGACGAGCTCTATTTTGAAAAGAAACGTCACATTATAGTATGCTTAGAAATTCACTTCAGTTTATTTTTGTAACAATTTATGCCTATATAGTACTCATTATGTCATAGTGTTTCATTTCCTCCCTGCACTACTGCCAGCAGCTGTGCTAATGAGAAATAAATCATCAACTTAACGATCATTGGATCTCAGAATCATCAATTTCCAGGTTTTGGTGGATTCAACACATACTCCCTTCTGGTAACCTCCCACGCATTTTATATGAGCAAATAATATCTTCTCAGTGAATTTTTTTTCATACTTTCCTCTGGCTTTGGTTGTCCTTGAATTTCTCTATAACAGACGGAATACAATGTTGTGCATTCCAATAGTCAACATAGTCAACCTGAGCCAACAGCTCCCAATTATGATAGTATGCTATGACAGTTTACATGAATAATTCACCGTGGTTATCATTTTCAGTTCTGCTCATCAGATTTTACCTGAACCTCTTCTGCTGCAAGCCAGTCCTTGCCAATAGTGCAAGTACTTGTATTTTGTAGGTTTTTCCCCACAAAGGTTTTATGCACTGCGAATACCAAATTTTAGACAAAATCAACATCCATAGTTTTATTGTCCAAGGTCAGCTCAAGTAGTAGTAGATTTCCTGAATTCTTAAAGGAGAAATTCATCTGCTTAAACAGCAACACTCAGTTATTCAGCTTTCAGTAAACTCATATTCTATCTGGACATTAGAATGCTATATGTTAAATGGATTTCGCAATGAAGTGAACTACTTGCAAGCACCCTAGAAGAAAAGTCAGCTAACAGTGGGACTTCTACCCCTCTCTTGACAATAAGCTCTGGCCTTGTGAGATCTCCCAGCTGATCTGACTCAATCACTCCCTGGCAGGACTGAAGCTCAGGACTGGGTGCATCTGGGACTGCAGAAAGTGGCCTGAAGATGATCATGGTTGCCCCAAGAAGGGAAGTCCAGGTACTTTGGATCGGAAGTGATTCCCAGAGTCCAGGGAGGAGGAGGAGGAGGAGGTTGGGAGGCTGAATTCTGTCTATCAGTTGGTTAAGTGAGGATAGCATCTTGGTGGGCAGTACCCTAATGCACACAGGAAATCCCAAAGTGAGGTGTACCCTTTCTTCCCAACTTTTTTCATGTCGATCTTTAGAAACAGCCTGCTCATTCCCACTTGCCTGAACATGCTAGTGTATTGTCCCGGTCCATAGGCTTGCTAATATGCCTAATTGACCTTTAATTATTTACCATGGCAGAAGGTCTGCCGATTTCAGCATCTGCCTACTGAATGTGTTATGGGAGTGAGCTCGGTTGCAAAGAAAGGTGGTGAGCTACGATCCAATTTATTTTGTGTCCTCCTTTGAAAACTTGCCTAGTGGAGGATCATTAAATTCAGCTCATGGTTAAAATCTCAAAAGATAAATAGCTGAGATGATTTGTTTGAAATGCCTTTTCTACTAAGATGATAACAAAGATGTCAATTATTGAAGTATTTTCCCACTGAGATTTCTGCAGAACTGGAATGAATAAAAGAACTGTAATTTGCTGAGTCAAAGGGAATTATATAGAACAAATTCATGTTCGACAATGACTTGTATTTATATGATGCCTTTAACAAAATAAGATGCCCAAAGATGCTTTATATTAGCATAATCAAACTAACTTTGGCACTGAGATAAATAAGGAGATATTAGAGATTTAGCAATATGCCTTCCATCCCTTCATCTAAGTCATTTATATAAAATATAAACAGTTGAAATCCACTGGTTCCCCTTCATCCATTTCCAGCTAACCATGGCTGGTGGGTCTGGACCTTAGAACTTTCATTACATGTTGGAATGTATTTATTCTGTATATCCTTAAATATCCCCTTCTTGCACCCATTAGTAAGGTAAGACTACTGCTGAATGCAGTGAAATACTGAATGCCTGTTCATCCATTTTGATTATGGGTTCAAATGGATGGCGTTAGCAATGCGTATGAGTTTAGCAAAACAATAAAAATAATGGTGTTCCTATTCCTACTTCACTAATGCACTGCCTGACATTAGGAATAATGACTTATAAAAAATTTAGCAAGGAGAAACTGGAGCAGTCCCATCTTTAAATCTCAATGTTACAGATTGCTATCCTCATGTGGTTAAAAAGGAAGATAGTCTTGAATGGAACAATTATGAATACGTTTCTTTGATTATTTCATGAAAATGCCATTCCACCTTCTAGTTTTACATGTATGCTTTACCTGGCCATAGATTCCTTCAGATATTGTATTGATTTTTGATTGTATATTTTAGCGTCTTCAAATGCTTTTTTATGTTCCAGCTTTTGTTTTTCGACATCTTTGATTGCCTTCCTGTATGTGAATAGAAGATAATCAAATGTCAGCATTTCAGCTACTCAGTTATCTATCGATTCCATCAAGATTATTTGTATTCCTAAAAATCACTTTAGGACAATGCACAGTAACATTGAAATAAATGAAAGTTTGAAACCAACATATTATTTAGAAGTGTTTTAATTTGCACATTTTCCAAAATTCATTTGTCACTTTCCTCTCCCCCAATGCTTTGGCAATTTCCTCCCTTTTTTCATTTTCCTTCTAAATCAGCACAGGGGCTGCATGTTGCATCATATATGCTAAACAGTTGAAAATCAATTCCCATTTTATTCCACATAATAATTCACATTTTATTTCTATATTGTAGAATTATTTCCTTAAGGAACGCTCTTAGTTATTCTAAATCATTTAAAGATGCTTGGATAATTTTTATTTTTATCAATGGCCTAAAAAGACATGGTGACAGACTGGCAGCAAGTGCTTTACATCACACAATGTTCTTTATAAACAGATGCTTGTACACATTAACTGTGAAACACAAACCAATATTGCACCAGAAAATAAAAGAAGAGAATCAAGTGTGATGTAAGACTCATAGCCCATTTGCTGCTCCCATAATTTTGGCTTTCATCTAGAAGTAAAATTACTCACAATATTATTAAATGGATTAATTAGTGGGAACATATAACATAAGACATTTGTGATATCTCAGGGTTTCGTTTTGAATGAACATCTATTTTAAAGAATAATCGTTAGTTGAAGTGTTTGTCCATTGATCCCACTAGGCTGACACTTTGCTAAACAGGTGTACTCTTCCTTCTTTTGATAGAGGACCAGACAACACTATTTGATTCATCCATTTACAGAGGTAGAATTTTCACTGAAAGTATTTTCACTGAGTTCAGCTATAAGGACAGCCAAACTACTTTGAAAATATAAATATTTCCTGATTAATCCAGATAACTGCAGGGAACTAGATCGGTTTCATTCCATGACAGCACTCCTGCTTTCAGTAGAGTGCAACCACTTCCATTAAATTGTAACTTCCTAAGCTCAGTGAAGGAAGTCTTTAACTATTCTTAAGAGATACGAATCTGTTCAGAAGAGGAATGCCCTTTCCACCTAATAGAATTATCTTTTAAGCATTAACTAATTTGATACTAACTTTATACTGCAGTTATAGTTATAATATAGTCCACAGATTGCAAACATTGCAAGGTAGAAGCCTGAACTGAACATTCTTCATGAATCAAACACAGAAAACGCTGCAGAAACTCAGCAAATCTGACAGCATCTGTGGAGAATGAAACAGTTAGTATTTCAAATCCGCTCTACTTCAGAACCTCGTTTTGGTTTCTGTGGCAAGGAGGTATCAACAAATTAGTCACATTGGAATCCTCTTATAAAATGATAGCAATTACATATGGATCATATCCACAGGAATTAGGTACATTCACATGAGATGACCAAATTTAATTTTAATTAGCACCCCTGGAGCTGAGAGAAAATATTTTAATACTGTTTGTTTGAACAGGATTTAAACCTATACCTCTGAAATAAATGGGCTGTAATTCTGAATTATTCACAATGGGCCAGATAGAGAAATGAAACCGTAACGTCACAATATAAGAAAATAGAAAGCAGCAATTCAGTGAGATCATTTTCTGCCTTTATTTCCAAACCTATTGAAACAAAATAACTCTAATTTGCCTTTCAATGCTTCAATGGACTCAGTAGGTCTGATTTTAAAGAATGTATGTTCCCAGCGAGGATTCTTATCCACTAGAAATGTATATTAGAATATCATAAGAAACTATCCCCACCATACATTAAAATACAAAAACTTGCAATTACGCAGCACCTTTTACAACTTCAGGATGTCCCGGAGTACTTTACAGCCAATTAAGTGTTTTGAATTGTTGTTGTAACCTGGGAAATATGTCAGCCAGTTTTCACACATTGAACTCCCACAATCTGCAATGTGATAATTGAATAATTGAATTGTCTCATTTTCAAAGTGTTTTCTTAAGTTTAGGAGTTCAGAATTTAGTTTAGTTATAACATAGGTTCGAAGTAGATAAGTACAGTTTTTAAGACCATAAGATATAGGAGCAGAAATTAGGCCATTCAGCCCATCGAGAGGTTTAAAATGTTAGTGGGTGATTAGCTTTGGAGCTATACAATCCCTTTGACTTTTATTGCTGGTGACTGCACTAACTAATCATGTAAGAATATTATACCTAGTCCACCTCGGAAATACTGCAGAGTGTTATCCAACCATGTTACACTCATTCTGTATAGATTTTGAGATTTACCCACTGTGTGATTCTCTATATTAGTTGGATATTGCTTTATATAAATAATGTTGCAATCTGTTTTAAAAGTAGCCATTTTAAACACAACAGCCACAGTAAAAGACACCACACAGCAGGAGGCCTCCAGAAAAGCCACTACTTAAAACACAGATCTAATCAAGAACATACAGATGCAGTTTAATTAGGAATTCACATAAAACAAGCAAAATCCTACACAATTTGCTAATCATGTTTCCTATCCTGGAAGAATGGACATCAATTGCTAATTCACTTCAATTCAACTAAATTAAATTCAATCAGGAAGTGGCAGTGTATTGTGCAGGCCCCACTTAGCGAACGAGAATCTAATCATGCATTGCCTGGATCAGAGTTCAGGGATACCATTAGTCAAGCTGCGGTTGTGATTTGGAAAGTTAAAAAGGCCTGTGACTCAGTGGCACAGTATGCAGAAAACAGGAAGAAGAATTTCAGAAAGGATAATGTCCCAGTCAACTGAGGACTGGAATTCCAATGTGAATCAGGTGAGTCACAGGAGAGGCAGAAGTGCTCTAAGACCTTCCAGCATTCACACTATTGGTACCAGATTGAAAGCCCTGCTGCACATCACTTCAGAAGCTGCAAGCCAGGAAGTGACTCACATTGGTGCTCAAGCCTCTACATTCAGTACATGGCCCAATTGGAAAGCTAGCTCCTTAGCTTGCCAACAAGGATGTGAAAATATTGGTGAATGGGTTGGTGGAGGGGATAGCAGTGCATTATTCTGTTGACCAGAAAAGGAGAACTTGCCAACAGACACAGTATGCCTGGGCCAAGGGTGCCCCCATGGTCTGTGCTCTGTTCAGAGTAATACGGAAAACACAGCAGTGCGGGAAGAAGGTTAATGATTTTCTGTACTCCACAAGGGTATCTTTGGTCTGCTACCACACACTCAATGGGTCATCACTCAATATAATTTTGCCACTTCACATGCATCTCACCTAGACTCATGGAGTGCAACTCTCAGTATTGAATGCATCATGTACACTCAATCCCCAGAGTCTATAGGTGTGAGGCTGGAAAAACACAGCGAGTCAGACAGCATCAGAAGAGCAGGAAAGTTAACATTTCAGGCTGAAACCCTTCGTAAGGGCTGGGGGTTTCAGCCCGAAATGTTGACTTTCCTGCTCCTCTGATACTGTTTGACCTGCTGTGCTTTTCCAGCCTCAGACCTATAGGCGTTGGCTTCCAGCATCTGCTGGAAGTCTCCTACTCTCCCCGGATTGGTTGCACTTGGTCTGCAGGAGTGGCCATTTCCAAATCCACAGACTACAAAGACATGGATGACTGGATTCTGGTAGTACCAAATCAGAAACAAAAATGGAAAATGCTGGAAAAGCTCAGCAGTTCTGGCAGCGTCAGTGAAGAGTAATCACAGTTAATACTTCAGGTTGAGTGACCCTTCCTCAGAACTCTAGTTCTGGTAGAATCAAATGTCAGACCAAACATGACCAAGCCCCTAGATGGCATGCTTGACTGACTGCAGCTCCATTGATCCCATTTTAGACTGCTTCCTCTAGACTTTCAGACATGGATGTTTACCTGCAGCATGGGAACACAGGAACAGGAGTAGACCATTCAGCCCCTCGCGCCTGTATCATCATTCAATGAGATCATGGTTGATCTGTGGCATGACTCCATATACCTGCCTTTGGCCCATATCCCTTAATTCATTTTGCTTAATAAAAATGTTCTCTCTCTGATTTTAAAACTAACAATTGATTGAGCATCAACTGTCATTAGTGCAGAGAGTTCTAAACCTATTACAACCTTTGTATGTAGAAGTGCTTCCAAACAACTCTCCTAAATAGTCTGAACCTAACTTTTAGATTATGCCCCAAGTTCTAGAATTCCCAACCAGTGGAAATAGTTTATCTTTAGTTTCCTGTCAATATTTTGAAGACTTTGATCAGATCACCCTTTAACCTTATAAATTCTGGAGAAAACAGGCCTAATTTGTATGATAGTAGGAACTGCAGATGCTGGAGAATCTGAGATAACAAGGTGTAGAGCTGGATGAACACAGCAGGCCAAGCAGCATCAGAGGAGGAGGAAACCTGACATTTCGGGCCTAGACCGAGATTTTCTGAAGAATGGTCTAGGCCCAAAACGTCAGCCGTCCTGCTCCTCTGATGCTGCTTGGCCTGCTGTGTTCATCCAGCTGCACACCGTGTTATCTCTAATTTGTATGATCTCTCCTCATAACTTAACCCCTGAAGTTGAAGTATCATTCCTGCGAACCTACACTGTACTCCCTCCAATACCAATACATTCTTCCCAAGGTGTAAGCACGTGCAGTGTGTTTGCCATGTAAACATCTGGCACATGCTGCAGGTCTCACATTGATAGAGCACCATGACACACAGCAATAAGTCTATTCACATGACTGTTCAGTGTTCCCCACAGTGAGAAGCTGCTGCCTCTGCACTAAAACACAAGGCTGGCAGCCTCTGAGTAGGCACAAAGTGAATGAGTACTATGAAACTAAGAGTCATGAGATGCATCCTGTGGAAAAACATGAAATGTGTATATCCCTGTATGCAAAGCGACCTGTCAGAAACAGGCACATTGTAGGTATCCCTGAGCTCCAACATACAGTCCTGAAGGGCTGAAGTGGTATGTGAGTTTGACCAAGAGTGGGCACGATGTTGTAGTGAGGCTAGTGGTTTACTGTTGCCGACTTGCGTAAATGAAGTTTGGAGGAGGATGGTGTCTACAGACCATGCAGGTATATTACGGTGAAGCCAGTGCTGGATAAAGGATGGAACAAGCAAGAAAGCTGTTACCACCAGGCAAGGACTCTTATTTTCATGTCAGGAATTGGCACCATCAAATTTCTCCAGGAAGGAGAGAAGAACTGGAAGTGGTGTAGAAAGACTGTGAAAATTCAGAAATACAGCAGAGTAACCAGAATTATACAGAACGTGAAGGATTAGATTATGAAGACATGTTGCAAAAACCTGACTTGTTTTCCGTAGAATGTAGGAGGTTAAGGGGTAATTTACTCAAGTTGTTCATAATGATTGAGGAATGCAATATCATAGACACAGAGAGACATATTTCCAGAGGTTTGGGAGTCCAGATGAGAACGTAACTTTGAGCTTGACAATTTAAGTATGAAATCACAAAGCAATTTTCCATGCAAGTGTTAGTGAAAATCTGAAACTCTTCTTGCTAAAGGCTGCAGATGCTGAGTCAACATAATTTTCAAAACTGAGATAAGAATGTAAATTAATATGAAACTAAGCTGGGTAAATAGTGTTAGGAGGTAGAGCATGATCTACTTCAACAGCTGAAATGTGCTTTAAGAATGTGTCACCTCCAGACTTCAGTGTGGTTCCCCAATTCATTATGGTTCCGAATGGATATCCCAAACCATTAAGCTCCCAGGTGAAGGATGAATTGTCTCCCCTTCTTTATTCTCCCACTCTCTCAGTTGGTTACAACAAGATTAATTTTAAAAGGATACCTTCCCTAATGGATATGTGATATTATAGACTTCAGAACTTTAATAGAAGTTCCTAAACTGAATGAATCAACAAAAGATAAACTATTACACACAGCAAAAAGTCTGTCTGAATTGAACTGTTAAGGAACAAAGACAAGCTGTTACACAGAGACTCAAGCAATTAGCCATTTCTTGGTGAGATTGCATAAAAACTGCTTTGAAACCTGCCTGATAAACTGGATGCTTTATTGCCACAAAGGACAAGGATTGCCCTGCAGAAGAATTTAAGGAGTTAATCACAGGAAAACTGTTACTTCGAACAGTCAATGCCAAATGTAACAAGAAACAAAGAAATTACTTTTGTTAAGAAGGCCAACTACAGACTTGCAGTAACTCAGATGAAAGACTCTAAAGAAATCATCAATCAATCACCTCAGAGACCGAAGGATGGGGAATCGAACACCAGAACAACTCAACAACAGAACTTTGACGAACAACACTGCATAAGGATTGAGCCGTGAACACTTCCACCCTCAGCATCAGACCACTGTTGGTTGAAGTACTGGCCAGATTTCACCATTCATCAGTTAATAGCTAAATTGCGTCGCAGGCTTGTAGTTGCTTACTTGTGAAGTTCAATATTTGGTTGCTACATGCAATAAAGTTTGAATTACTGTTTCAGTACTTGAATGTCTGTGAGATTTCTTAATAAGTAGCCGAATTAAAAGTAACTCGTGGAGATTTACCCATAACAATACCTATCTCTCAGAAAATGAACCTGTGCTTTTAAAAAGAGCCAAAATAGTAAGGCTTCTTGAGTTAACAAAAAGAGTAAATTTTTAATCACATAAAGGTAGAAGAAATACAAATACAACATTCATAAACACAGATTAAAAATAAGAGGTGAGTACAAAAAAAAGATATATGGATCAAGATTTAAACTGTTCGTGAAATGCTAATAATTAAACATTGCAGCGGAGGTTACCGGTAGCATTGACATTAGGACATTAGCATTGACATTGAACAGTTGGTTTCATGATCCTTAGATTTGCAGATTGATTGGGATTCTGTCGATTTGATCCTTTCAACAACAATTACAGAGATAGAAAGGTTGTAGTTGGTTGGCTCGCCGAGCTGGTTCGTTGTTTTGCAGAACAGGAAGATACTATACGCCCCGACACACACATCACGCTACCTTACATCAGGAACACATCTGAACTGACCACAAGATTCCTATGACCACTGGGCATCAGAATATCACACAAACCCATATCAACCCTACGACAACTGCTCACCCGGACCAAAGACCCACTACCCACTATGGACAGGACCAATGTCATATGCAAGATTCCCTGCAGAGACTGTGACAAACACTACATCGGACAAACAGGAAGGAAATTGACAACAAGAGTACACGAACCTCAATTGGCTACAAAAAGACACGACCAATACTCACTCATCTCAATCCACATGGATAGGAGGACCACCAATTCGACTGGGACAACACCAAAATCCTGGGACAAGCAAAACAGAGACAAGCACGCGAATTCCTAGAAGCGTGGCACTCCACGAAGTAAGCCATCAACAAACACATGCAGCTCGACCCCATATACACTCCACTACAAAGGAAAACCGGAAATGAGGTAATCCAGGTCAACGGACTCCAGAGTTTAAATAACAGACGGGAAAACACAACAGTGCTTCATCGGAGGCTGCATTGATGATGTTACCTAGCAGGGTAATGAAACGTCTGCAAAACAACGAACCAGCTCGGCGAGCCAACCAACTACAACATCTATAGCCCAAGCTACAAATCTACTCTAAAACCTTATAGATAGGTTCTTGATTAATAAGGGGATCAAGGGTTACAGGGAGAAGGCAGGAGAATGGGGTTGAGAAACATATCAGCTATAATTGAATGGTGGAGCAGACTCGATGGGCTGAATGGCCTAATTCTGCTCCTACATGTTATGGTCTTATGGATTCGATCACAGCATTCAGAGTGACAGTCCATTTGTTGTCCAATTTCCATTTGTTTGGTTGGTAGCTAGCTGACTTCTGGTACACGGACTGAGATGAGAGGGTCTTTAACTGTAATACAGGGGTAACTTGGGGATAATTCTTTGACTGTGACCTTCGCAGCATGCTAATACTCAGACCTAGTGTGGTACATATGAGAACATTCAGTCCCAGTAGAATACTCCTGCAGAGTTGAAATTGTGCATTCTTCAAAAAGAGAAACACAAATTGTGTGTCTGTAGTTTGGACAAGATCACAGTCCAGTCTTTTTAGACTTGCCCCTTCCTCTCTTTAGAGGGTCAGCTCCCTTCACATATGTAGGTGTGACATTCTTCAGGACCCTCTCTTCAGTCAGTCACTTAATTTAGACTTGCAGCTATGTATAGCTTTATCACACTTCTTTCAAATAAAAAAAAATTAGAATCACACATTAAAAATGTCCATAGTACCTAAGGGCTTTGACATGGTCATGATAGATGAACGTCTTTCTACTGTTAATATGTTCACTACCAAGCAAAGCCGAGTTTCATGATCAGTATCTTACCAGATACGGTGAAGAAACAACCCATCATTTCCCACTTCAGGTGTTGTATTTTCAGCACTGTGTCCTTATTTCAGATTGCAGTACTTGTTCATTTTTAAATGTCTGCTTGAAATGTTTTATATTAAGGCCAAACAAATAAGTGGAACATGTATCCATAAATAAAAACAGAAAATGCTGGAATACTTAGCAAGTCTGGCATGAAATGTTCCACATATGCTGTCTGACTTGCTAAATATTCCAGTATTTCTTGTTTTAATTTCAAATTTCCAACATGTTCAGTATTTTGCTTTTGTATGTTCTATTCATTATCTTCTTAATGCACAACATATCTGAATAAGCAATACAAAAATGTTGATAAAACACTGAGTAAACATCTCCAGTGACTAATAACTGACTGCAGCTCTCATTTACATGCAACGTTATTTTGATGTTTAGCCAATAATGAGAGGTTTAGAAAGTTTACATAAACCGTGAAAGGTCTAGTACTGAAGTGCATGACTGTTTGTCAGATAACAAACAATACTGTTGCAATGACTAAGACTGAAGTAAATTGTTGGATTAGGTTTCACTAACTTTTTTCTTTTTTCTGCTTGTAAAATAGCTGTCTCTTCTGCTTCCAGTCTTTGTTTTGCCTCTAGTAAGAGTTGTGCCTCATATTTTGCATCGTCATTCTTATGTGCTTCATAGAGTCGCATCAATTTTCCTTGTTCAAGTTCAACTTCAAACATTTCACGTCTGAAACGGGGTAAAGAATAAACTGAAATGTAGCTCTGAGCAAATCTTTATCAATGCTCAAAAAGTAAACATTGTACAGTTGAATTCCTCTGTAGTAGATATACACCATTTAAAGACAAATGCCGGTGTAAGAAGTTAATTATTCAGCTTCTTTGCTATCACCCCTCATACTGTAAAAAAATCTTAAAATACCAGGTCAGAAGCCACATGATACCAGGCTACAGTCCAACAGATTTATTTGAAATCACAAGCTTTTAAAGCACTGCTCCTTTGTCAGGTCCTGGAATATAACCTGGTGCCACGTGACTTCTGACCTTGTCCACCCCAGTCTAACACCGACATCTCCACATCATGATTAAAGTACCAGGAATATTAAATGAGAAAAAATAATCAAACATTGAAATGTAAAACAGTACGATTCTGTGAAATAAAATTTCAATTAATACAACAATTAAATGATTTAATGTAAAAGCTGAAACTATACGTTAGCAAATCATATGCCATTACAACTAATAAAACCTTACAATACTGTTCTAAAGATTATTTATATATTTATATTTATATATAAATAATCTACAGTGAAAATATCTGATAGATATTTCAACTCTGCAGGAGTATTCTACTGGGACTGAATGTTCTGATAGAAACTATTTTTGGTAATACCTTTAATTCAATAATTTTCAGTTTTACCATTTTTATGTTTATTTGCTCTATTGCTAAACATTTTTTTAAGGCACTAAGGTAAACTGACAGACATAAAGCATCCAACGTGCTCTCTGTTCACACAAAAGTGACAAGAAATTCCACCACAGCTGAAAATTTGTTTAAAATCTCCATCACTTTACCGTCAATACAAAAGAATATACCTTAGCATGGGTTATTGATATCAAGGTAATTGGATTTTCCAAGTGAATTCAGGTTAAAAGAAATGGGAAATGCACAAGTTGTAATAATTTCTACAAATTCAACTGAATGGCAGTTCAAGTATCTCCTTTGTTAAATCCCAGGTGATGTTCCTCAATTCAGTACATTCTAGACAGGATACCCCTAAACCATTAAGTTCCCAGGTGAGGAGGGATGAAATGACTCCCTCTTCTTATATACCCACCCCTCAGTTGGTTGCAACAAGGTTAACCTTAAAAGATTCCTTCTCTTGTGGATGCCATTCTCCTATTCCAACTGAACTTATATTTTAAAAAAAAAAATTTTTCTTTGAATCATAGAATCCCTACAGCGCAAATAGAGGCCATTTGGCCCGCTGAGTCTGCACTGACCCTCTGAAGAACCTACCCAGACTCACACCCCTAACCAATTCCTCCATAACCCTGCATTTACCATGGCTAACCTAGCTAACCTGCCTGCACATCCCTGGACACTATGGGGCAATTTAGCATGGCCAATCCACCTAATGTGCACATCTTTCGACTTTGGGAGGAAACCAAAGCACCAGGAGGAAACCCACGCAAATACGGAGGGAACTTGCAAACTCCCCACAGACAGTCACATAAGGCTGGAATTGAATCTGGGTCCCTGATGCTGTGAAGCAGCAGCACTAACCACTGTGTCACAATACCGCCCCATTTAACCAGGCTTTAACAAAGTTAACAGAGTTCACCATGAGTGAGTTTAATAGTTACTGAACATGTGAAGAATTAGTAATGAAACACACAGATTAGAAATAAGAGCTAAATGCAAGAAGATAAAAGTTCTGGATCAGTCACTGAATTGTTTGTGAAGGGTGGATAATTGAATGATGTGCTGTTGCAGTGGAGATTATTTATGGAATTGACATTGGTAGTTGAATAGTCAGTTTCATAATCCTTAGCTTAGTGTATTCTTTGAGATTCCATAGCTCTGATACCCTTTGACCTGTTACTGAATTCCAGCATTCAGAGTAAGAGAGGACTTTTGTTGCCCTATTTCCTTTCAACTGGCTGATAGTGAGCTGACTTGAAGCACTCAGAGTGATAAAGGGTCTCTATCTGCAACGGAGGCTGGGGATTAACTGTGACTTTCACAGCACGCTTACTCTTGAACACAGGCTGGTACAAGTGAGAATGTTCAGTCCCACCAGCACTCTCCAGTAAAGTTGAAACATTCTTTTTAACCCCTGTCCTTGTTTATTCTTCAAAGAGAGAAGCACAAAATGTGTGCAGTTTTAGACAAAACCTGCAGGGGTGGTTTGCTGTTGAGCAGGGAATTGTCAGCCCTTCATTATCTCAAGCCACTCTCTCACTCTGAAGTTTCTATGATGCATTTAGGTGTTACATCCTCGTGGTCCCATCCAGATTTTTTTTGCCAGCCAGCCACTGAATTATACCTGCAGATATTTTGTCTCCTTAGCAGTTCTCTTTCTAAAAAAAACACTTTTTGACAATAAGATCCAAAAACGTCGGCTGTATTTTCAGGCTGTAATCTGTCATTGTAACACCTTGAAAAGGCAAAGTTATTAAATTCATGAAGTCATTACAGCTCCAAAATCCTGCATTGAGTAATTGAGTTGGTATCAGTATTCGGCTCCAAGACAATGTATAAATATAAAAATATTTCAATATGATGTCAAACCCAGCACTTGTCATGTAAAACATATAAATCTGTCCAATTAGTAGTGAGATTGCTAGAGAGCTAGGTAGATAGCAGGTGGACGGTACTGTACGTGTGATATCATAAAATGTGTCAATACAGAAAACTTATAGCAGAGAAGTAGAAGTTCAAGTAAGAGAAAGTTTGGAATCCAAATATCACTGATTTAAAATCATTATGTAAAAGACCACCGAGGGTAATATGGGGTATGGTGGAAAGGTGAGAAGATAGGCAGAAAGCCTTTTACTCAACAAGTTATGATATATTTTTCCAACCGAATTCTCTTGTGCCATACTAAATCAAAGTGGGCATTTTAACATTACAGGATTGTCAGTACAGGCAGACTTTGATTAATTCCTCTTTTGGTAGCTCTTCTTAATTATGTATGCTCTTACAGTTCAACTTGGTACAAATTCTTACGAATGGCTAGATTAACCAGAAAATACTAGTTTGTTCATGCCTATGACTTTGGACTTCTGATTTGGGTTATTTTTACTGAGAAAAGCCACTTCATGTTTTGTGAAGCTATTACCAATAGGAAGGTTTTGAGGTCAAAATGGGGTACATATGCCAGCTATGCTCATGATGTCTTTGATATGCAAAGACTGTAAAATATTGCTGTTAAGTCCTTCAATCCTCATCAACTGACCATAGGAAAATATCATTATAAAAAAAATTGAAGAAATACATCTACTTTTCCTTTCGAGTACCACATACATGCAACCTATCAGTGCATGTCAAAAACAGTTACAAACACTTAAATTATTTCTATGGCAAAGTGAAGGCATTTGCAAACGTCATTGTTTAGTCTATAACTCACTCATTCTCTTGCAGTTTCAAAGTAATTTTTGATTGAAGGTCTTCTTCCTCCCGAAGCTCGTCACACAGCCGTCTGTGTTGTGCCCGAAGGCGAAACAAAGCAGGACTGGTACAACATCAGGAGAAATGATGAATATTAATAATAAGTAAAATGATTATGTATGAAGGCAATAAATGCTTTCTTTACATTTCACCTAATTTTCACCATCTATTCTTTTCTCATATTTGTCATTGTGGAACTACTTACAACAATCTGTATTTATAAACTGATTTTAACAGCAAAATGATACAAGTCATGAGAGAGATTGTAATCAGGTTAAAGGTTATACAGAGCTAGAAAAATAAATGTTACTATATTTGTTAATATTTACATTATACACACAAAATATTGTTCTATGAATGCACATGACCTTTGTCACGGTACATTTGAATTAAACCACAATAAGCGCTAAGCTGCAACCTTCAGAGACACATACCTCCCTTTCCTTTATGCTTAAACTTTTCTTTACTAACTTCATCTTCTGGCTTAGAGGGTGTTATAGACCAGACCAAACCCTCTCAAAATATATTGAGAGGATAGCTTAGACCCTAACTTTTTTTATTTTAAAGGCCAGTGCCAGGTGTTGCGTTCCGGATGCAATTGGATTGATCAAACTACCAGGCTTGAAGCAAAATACACTTTATTCATACACTATAGTTAAAATACAACAAAAGAAAGAATAAATTGGAACTCTATTGGAAAACTTAACAAAATAATAGATTATTTAACTACTGAACAGTAACTGTTCCAATGTAGTAACATCCCATAAACACACTCTTGGCAAAGGCAAGTTCAGTAAAATAGATTGTCTCACAGGCAATTCTCCAGTCCAGGAGGAAAAACATCAAGAGAAAATTCTGAGAGAGAGAGAGTAGCGGGGAGCTTCCAACTTAGCTTCAAGACCCCAACAGCAACTGCTAATTTAAAACTAAAACTAGAAATCCTGGTTCTGTGGGAGCTTGACCCCACTCATTCAGGCTGCTTCTATTGTTCCAACTTAAAAAAAGTACCAAGGCCTCACAAGCTGTTTACTTTATTGCTTTTGGAGCACACTGCCTGGCATCTTTGTCACAATCTCTCTTTATAAAAAAAAGCAGGACAAAATACATCTCTTAAAGCCTGGGTATCATCACAGAGGGGGAGCAGAAAATCACATTGCTTTCTTTTTTTACATTCAACAAAATGAGGTAAACTGATGCTGAGTAGCATGTAGCATTGTGATAGATATTTGTGGAAGCTCATGGTCGGAGATGGGCAGAGAACAATCCAGGCAGGGAAAGATCAAAACCAGTGGTGGATAAGTACATGATGAGGAATAAGTGGAAATGAGAAATTCTAATTATCAATGTATCGGAAGAACAGGTCAAAGAGAGGGCCTAAAGAGAACTGGAAAAAAGAATGTTTCACATATTGTAAAGAAGTTACACAATTGAGATAGACTTCATTTATGGGATTCAAGTTAAAACAAATCCAGTTCAGGTTGTGAGCAAGACAAACCAAGTCAAGGATGATGCAGACGCATTTGATGCAGGAAAATCCTAAAAACACAACCAGCAGGAGACATGGTAAAAATTGGTTCCCTATTTGATCAAAACTAGATAATGTCCTGTTAAAATTACAATCATACAAGTTAATTGATCACCTCTACATTTAATTCTTTGGCACTATTTCCATTACTTCAGGTGAAAAGGCTTTCTAGATTTGTCAAGGAGAGTTGCAACCTTCCTACTCTAGGTTCACTCCCCTCTTCCTTCTCAAAACAATTTTCTCATGACTTAGCTGCAAGCTGATGGGCAACCAAGAATGGCTTGATCTTTATCTACTGACAGCTGCTATGCAGTCTCTTCTTACCAATAATGGGTAGAAAATGGACTGATTAAATATGTTAGGCTGTGAAGTTAAAAATAAACTTATTTTGGTGAGTGCCTTTCTCAAACAAATTGCCTGATCTAATCTTGCTTGAAGTTAAAATCAATCCCAAGGAAGTGCAAAAAGACTTGACACCCATGCCAAGGAAGCAGTAATTAAATACAATAATGGGTCAGCCAGGACAAACCATTTTCTTAGCGTTGGGAAACAAGTGGAAATGGACAGTGTTGCCTGAATTGATCAAGTGTGGAGACCTGCAGAAGAAATGAGACCAACATCTGTCTGAACATGAGTGTCTACTGTTGAATACTAGGTTTATAATTCAGAAACAGTTAGGAAGACAAGTCCTGATATTGTCATTTAGCCTCTTCCATGAGCTGATGCAAATGGCACACAATGGTGCTCCCCTTTGTTAGCAGATCAGCTACTTTGATCAATGAACTTCCTTCCATTGTTAGGTCAGAAATGAGGATGTTTGCTGATTATTGCACAATGTTTAGCATGATTTGCAACTCCTCAGATATTACAGCAGTCCATGTTCAAATGTAGCAAGAACTGGACAATATCCAGGTTTGGTGCAACAAGGACCAAGCACCATTCGTGTTACACAAGTGCTGAAGCAATGACCATCTCCAAGAAAAAGAAATCTAACCGTCATCCCTTGATATTCAACAGCAGTCCCATTGTTGAATCCGCCATTATCAAAATCCTTCCATCACTGTGATCAATTTGCAATGTACTAGTACCACATCATGTAATGTTTAGAAGTAACAAGTTAATGCATAATGCATAAACTTATATTTATGAAGAGCATTTAACATAATTGAATATCCCACAGTGCTTAACAGGAACATTATAAAACAACATATGACACTGAGCCACATGAAGATATATTAGGTTAGATGGCCAAAACCTTGGTCCAAGAGGAGAGTTTTAAGGAGTATGTTAAAGGAGGAGAGAGAGAGAGAGACAGAGACAGAGACAGAGAGAGGTAGAGAGGTTTAGGAAGAGCATTTTCAGTTGGATGTAAAAGATCCAATGCCACTTTTTCAAAGAAGTGGATGTGAATTCTCCCCCATGTCCTGGTTGATGTTTATCTCTCAGCCAACATTTGAAAAGAATGGTCAACTTGCTAGCATCACACTACTGTTCATACAATCCTGCAGTGAGAAAAATTGGCTGCTGAAGATTTTTGCATTGCAGCAAAAACTATTGCATTGGTTGAAAAACATCCTTGAACATTCTGAAATTGAGAAACAAATAGTGGGAGTTGTTTTTTTCAATCTAATATATTTATAAGTCTTAAGATGTTTGCTTATCTGCGAAGTTCATTATTTGTGCAATACTTTTAAAAAAAACAAATAAATGTTTTCTAAGCATAAGGCAGTGACAACTGTTTAAAGACAATTCATAATAAACTCAATTTTAGCTACCAGAAGAAAGAAAATTATATCAAGATTAGAATTCTTTATCCTTACTGTGCAGTCAACATCAAGAAGCATCACTGACCCAAAACTAAATTGATTCCCATGTTATGAGAAAGGGAGAAAAAGCAAGTGAGACAAGTTAAGATCTTAAGAGAACACAGCAAATTGTGAATTTATTTAATAACTATTAAGCAATACTAACTTCACCAGAAGTACAAAGAATCTGATTCATACAGAGAAATGATGGAATGAACTAAATAGCAGAAAGATCACATACTTGTTGTTGGCAGTTTCCTGCTCTTGAATATCTGCTTCCACTTCCTTCCTCTCCTTCTCCAAAGTTTCTATTCTCATCCTGCATTCTTTTAATTCTTCTCTAAAATTAGAACATATGGCAATACAAGAACAAGCAAAGGTAAGTACACAGTTTTCGGAATAACATTAATCGAATATTACAGGAAATGCTATTATTCCAAATGAATCATTAATTTGCATTTAGACCGAGTGAAACTGCAACAGTTAGCCTTTGAGCACTGAGGCTGCATTCCAACCTATAATATGAAAAGCAACAATTATGCTTTTAAAGTTTCGGCACAGAAGGTAAACATGGATTTTCTGATTTGCAGTTAAAGTGTGACGGCAAGGGAGTTTCATAATGTACACTCTGCCGTAGCCTGGACGAGTTATCTCGTGATAAGGTTAGGGTTTGTCTTTCATCTTATTAATTATGCGAATAAGATGTTGAACATGTTTCCCATTGAATCTAGTGATTGATGTGGTTGCCATTGCCAGGATCTCGGGGTTCCAATACTCTGGTTCCTTTATAAACACCAGCTGGACACTGGTTCAAATGCTGCAAGCCACATTCGACCCATTACACTGTGGTGCACGCTTCCACGCTGTGAACACATGGTGCAGAAGAAAACCAACCTTACTCCTCCTTCCGAAAGAAAGATCTGGAGCCACTGATGGTTGGGGTGGTGGAGAGAAGATTTGTATTCTTCCTGTATAACTGCAGAAAGAGGTGAAGGGGGCAAGAGTATATAGGTATAGATTTCTTATAGAAGTATAGTTTTCTCACAGATCTGTAGTAAGGGACAAATGTATAGGTAAGGGTTAAAAGTAAGGATTAAAAGAGCACTTGCTTGCTGCTGCAGAGACAGACAGTTAGTTGGAAGATTGTTCCCAAGGGAACAGGTCACGGGATGTTCCAGGGGGGAAGCAAGCTAGTCTGCAAATGTTGGTGGCAAGGGGTCAGGGCTAGGCACAATGAATAACTGCATGTTTATTTTTGATAAAGGTTTCAATAGACAATAGCCTCCAGTGTGATAATGTAGGAGCCCTACACCACTGATAGCAAACTGTGTGGCGCTGTTAAATTTATTGCTCATGCCAGATGTGGATGGTAATTAATACAGTTTCAGGGTTGTGGCAGTCTGTTTGTGTAATGGTATAAAAGAGGTACTTTTGGAGAAAGTTCAAACTCCTGGGTGAGTCTTGGGCCCCCTCCCCCTGCATCTACACCAGTATTTTGCTTGAATAAAGTTCTCAAGTGCTGTTTTACTTTGCTATCTCCAAGTATCTGACTGCCTTTACAGAGGTCACTCTTACAGAGGTCATGCCACTAGACCCAGCCAACCTGAATAGAAATAACGGCCCAGCTCATGTTTTCTCCTGGGTCAACAGGAATGACCAGCAGTGCAGGAAGAAGATCAATGATCTGCTGCACATTCTACCATTTCATACTTGGAGGCCAGCACACATTCTAATTGTTCCAATGCAGATGTCTCTTACAAAGGCTGATGGACTAAACCCTCAGCATCACACGCATCATGTCCACTCAAGGCTCACATTCACCCCATCCTCTACAGTCAGCAATGCTTCCTACTAACTCAATAGGCACATTTCATCGCCTCTCCTGCTTTGCATGATCACTGACAGCTCTTGCATCCTGTTCCATCATATTCAATCCCTTCCTTCATCTCATTGCAACAGAAACTGGCTCACAACTGGGCTTAGAGGTCGCATACAGGTGGGGGAGTAGTGGACAAAAGGCTTTGACTGCCCACGAGAAGACAATGGTGAGGCTAAAATGGGAAAGAATAGAATCACTCATGTGGGAGTTACCAATGAATAACCAACCGAGTAAGCTCTATTGTGCTGTTCTTCTCTCTCATTACTACCAGTTCTAACTCATCCTTATTTTGTACAAGCTATTAGACATTTTCTCCAACTGTCTCCATCTCTCTTTTGTAGGCACATGCAGCATCCAGGGAACTCTGGAGTCAATCATAAAGGAGGAGATAATTGAATACTTGGAAAAACAAAGCTCAATTCACCAGTGTTGACATGATTTCATGAAGGGCAAGTCAAGCTTGACAAACTTGCTGGAGTTCTTTGATGATGTAACCAGCAAGGTGGATAATGGGGATCTGGTGCATGTGGTATATCTAGACTTCCAAAAGGCATATGACACGGTGCCACATTAAAGACTGATCCAGGAGGTTGGTTCCCAGGAGTTTAAGGGTAGTGAACTGACTTGGATAGAGGATTGGCTGACTGACAGAAAGCAGAGTGTTGGGATAAATGGGTCCTTCTTTGGATTGTGAACTATAACTAGGGGGATGCCACGGGGGTCATTTCTCGGACCTCAACTATTTATAATCTATTTAAATGATCTGAAAGCTGGGATAGAGTGTAACATATCAAAAGTCATGGATGATACTAAAATAGGTGGGAAAGCAGGCAGTGATGAGGAGATAAAGATTTTACAGATGGATATTGATAGCTCGGACAAGGAGCCAGAACCTGGCAGATGAAGTTTAATGTGGATAAGTGTGAGGTTGTCTATTTTGGCTAGAAAAATAAGAGGGCATATTAGTATTTAAATGGGAATGGTATTTAAATGTTAGTGTTAAAGCCCTTGTGTACTTAAAAGCAAGTCAAGGAGCATAAAATGCCTGCCTCTATGTCAGCAAAAAAAAACTACGTATAGATATGTGAGATGCCTGGCCTGCTCTAAGGTCAAACCAATCTGGCAGAAGCATTCAAGTCATAGGTGTCACTTAGCTCCAAATCAGATGGTTGAAGCCCTGAGGTGGTGTCTGAGTTGGTCATGGAAAAAGCATGGTGATATTGTGAAGCTTGTACTTTGCTGGTGCTGAGTTGCGTGGATGAAGGGCTGAAGAGGATTGTTGCCACTAATCAGACAGGGACTTGTACAGAAGAAGCAGTTCCACATGAAGAGAAGGTAGATGGCTGGCACAGCTATTTCTTGAGCTGCACCAAAGGCTGACAAGCCAAATTGCCAGGCACCCTGTGTTTTACTTGTCGAGTTGTTGTGCCGTTTAGTTTCCTGATGCAGCATAGGAAAATTGGAAGTGCAATGTTGGCTATTAGTGAGACGCAAATGTATGTAAATGAGCTAGTTGCCACTCTGGTGACATCTGGAACTTGTGAGGTAAGTTTTTCTTGAAATCGAGAATCTAATCTTTTCACTCTCACCCAATTAGGTCATCTTGCTTGCTATTAATCTCACCGCACAAGGAGAAGAAAATTCTGCCTCTCATCATGTTGAAATTACCAGTATATGAATGCTTAATATTTTCATGTAAGTTATTTTGGTTTATTTGAGAAGGGATTAACCAATTTACATGAAACAGGTTAAGGTTTCATCAGGATAGTGCAGAGAAGAACTTAATTTAGATATGTTAGGCAGTTATACTTACACGTGTCACAAAGCAATTTCATAATAAATGACAAAAATACTATCGTATATATATGATTTTTAAAAAAAATATTAGTTGAAGGGGAAGCAGGGAGAAAATTCAGATCCTATTCTTCATCTCAATAATAACAAAAATTTAGCAATGAATCAAATAGATAAATAAGATTTCTGGGGTAAAACAAAGCGACTGCATTTTTTGTTTTCTGATTTACATCTCTGCCATGAAAAATTTCTTGGCTATATTTATAACAGATCTTTTAGTGGTTAGACATTAATTTCTCTATGGGGAGGTGGTGACACAGTAGTAATGTCACTGAACTAGTAATGCAGAAAAACCTCTGCAGGCAAGGGTTCAGATCCACTGCAGCAACTGGTGGAATTTAAAAACAATTCATTATTCAAGATAAATATGAGTTTGAATTCTCAGTAAGGGCAAGCATGAAATTATCATTGAATATCATGAAAACCCATTTAGTTCACTAATGTTCTTTATGGGAAGGAAATTTGCTACCCTTACTGAATTCGAGTTTAGATGTCACTCCAACCCACAGCAATATGGCTAATCCTTAACTGGTCTCAAAGGGCAATAAATTAAACTCAACAATTGCCAGCTGTGCCAGCAATGCCTATATCCCATTAAAGACAAAAGTAAAAATAAATAACTAAAATTTGAATGAAACGTTACTTTCCAGTGTAAACATGGAAATATAAACTTTTAGCAAAACTAAATATATTAATTTCAAAGTGAAATATTCAGTGATTCAATCCTAAAGGCATAATCATTCCTCCTCATTATCAAAATCTTTGAACTGTGAAGGGAATTACCACCTCCCATCATGTAAATATATTAGATGGCTTGCAAAAGATTATGTCAGGCATGAAGTTTATGAAACTTATCTGCCTATGTGAATATGATCAAAGTGGTTCCACGACAATCTCCAAGCTTTGGTGTTTCAATTTCCATCATTCCACAAAAACAATAACTATGAAACAGTTGGCAATGCATTCTTTAATACAAGGTGACAACATCAATATTCAGATTACACAGACTGACACTCTACTTCTCTATATACATATTCTACGCATTATCGTGGTGACCATATTTTACTAGGTAGGTAGTTCATGAAGAAAAGAGTAATGATTTGATTGGCCAACTGCTATGGTTCTCCCAGAGATAGTAGGAACTGCAGATGCTGGAGTCAGAGACAACACAATGTGGAGCTGGAGGTACACAGCAGGCCAGGCAGCATCAGAGGAGCAGGAAAGTTGATGTTTCGGTTTGGGACCCTTCTTCAGAAAATCTGGTTCTCTGTTGTGATCTTTTTTGTTATATGATGCATATCGTATACCTTAAAAAATTCTATGTTGTTGAAAAAACTCAATCTTGATTTGTTTGTTAATAATTTTGAGACTGCAACTATATAAGACTGTAAATGACCCAAAATAGGCAGGGAGAAGAGCCCTTGGCTGCATATGGTGCTAATTGCTAATTAATGAACAACTAAATATCCAACAAATTGTTAGCAACTTTTGAACATTATTCCCAAATAAACTAAGATTCTAATGATATGCTGTTCCAATAAATACAAATATAAATATAAAACAAAAATAGAATTTAGTCTCTCAAAATTACTGCCAGGTTACGTGTC